ATTTTAAAATTAACCAATAAAAAAATTTTATTGCTTAATTTTAAAATTAACGCGCTTTTTTACGGTCCATTAGTAAGGTTTTTCATAATGCTAAACTTTTAATACCATAACAAGAAAGCGAGAAAGTAATCGCTGTAGCTGGCACCTTGAATCCACTCTTCTTTTTTATTAGTTCTTTACAAGAACTCATTATCTTGAAGTAGTTTCTGAAGCTTCTCCAAGCTCATCACACACTCTACATTATCTTGAAGTAGCTTCTGAAGCTTCTCCAAGCTCATCACACACTCTACATTATCTTGAAGTAGCTTCTGAAGCTTCTCCAAGCTCATCACACACTCTACATTACTTGAAGTAGCTTCGAAAGCTTCTCCAAGCTCATCACACACTCTACATTATCTTGAAATAGTTTCTGAAACTTCTCCAAGCTCATCACACACTCTACATTATCTTGAAGTAGCTTCTGAAGCTTCCCCAAGCTCATCACACACTCTACATTATCTTGAAGTAGCTTCTGAAGCTTCTCCAAGCTCATCACACACACTTTACATTATCTTGAAGTAGCTTCTGAAGCTTTTTCAAGCTCATCACACACTCTACATTATCTTGAATGAATTTTATTGTAAGCACAGCAAATCTGAATTTTTCATTACAAAATATTTTTCTTAAAACCTTTCTTATTTTCAGAAATGTCTTTCCATGCAATTTATTTTTAAAAAACAGAAATATATTTTTTGTTTTGAGAAATAATAAATTTCTTATACTATGATAAATAGATTTATGATTTTGCTGTGAGTTTTGATTAGTTGTTAGCAACTTTTAAAGATTTTAAAAGTTTTGGAATTCATTGTATCCAAAAAGTCTGAGGGAGTCTCATCTGTAGGCATTTTTTTCAAACTATGATCTAGAATATCAAAAATTAACCAGTAGTCTGGTGAAATATACAACTCAAGACCTAGTGGTTGGTCTTTATCAACAAAAACTGCTTTCAGAAGGATTTTATCTTAGATTCTATCCGTTTTTACATCTTTTTGGACCTCTGTTTGATTTTGAAGACAGAATTTCTTACCATTTTTATATTGTGATCTTGGTCAAAAGTTGCTAACACCAGCACCAAAACCTCTATGATTTTATTATTATTTGAATTTCACCTCTGCAGCAGGTGAAACTCAAATAATCAAAAACTCAGCATAATCAAAGAAGAAGTAAAGAAGAGGTCTTGTGAGAGGGTTGGTATTCATTAATATAGGAATGTCAACAGTAATGTGATAGTTGTTTGCAGTAAATAACTGAGTTTTGTTGCAGTTAAAATTTACCAGCCACTGCAGGCCCCAATCTGTTACAGAAGTGAGATCAGATTCAAGATCGGCTGCCTCTTCTAAGCGATCAAAAAGAGAAAACTTTTTGTCAGCTACTTTAGATGCAAGGTTGTTGAGAAGATCATTAGTATAGATAAAAAATAAAACAGGACCAAGAGATAGAACCTTGAGGCATCTCTGAGGTTTCTGGAAATAAAAAAGAGTGTCGGCCTTCGAGGATGACTTTAATAAAGTGGTTAGAAAGAAATAATTTGATAATCTCAAAAACTTTCCCAGATACACCATATGAAACAAGCTTATGGAGAAAAAAACCAAACTTTGTTGAGAACCTTAGATATGTCAAGAGCAATAGCCCTTGTCCCTATCTTATTCATAAATCTTTCAGTTACAGCAGTTAGCAAGTCAGCCGTAGAGCGAGAGGATTGGAAACCAAATTGATTGTCTGACAATAAGTTACTTGAATCAAAATGGGATGTGAGAAATTTATTCGAAAATTATTACAAAGATTCAAAAACTTTGTTAATAACAGAAAGAAGGCTGATCAGACGATAATTGTTGGGGTCAGAATGTTCACCAGAGTTTTTTGTTATTTTATAAATTCTAGCAGTTCACTTAGAACTCCAGTTTTAAGTGAATATATAGTAAACAAGCCACTTTTCTTACTTTACTCTCGTACTTTAAGAGACAAGGTATTACCTACTTAAGAGACAAGATTGTACTTTATATTGTATCACCTACTTAACAAAAACATCTGTGGTTATTTGCATACTGCAAGCAAACACTTTATTAAAGAAATGTAATTCCATCAGAAAATCATAAAAGTTAAAAAACATTTTTTTAATATAAATTCAAAAAAAAACACTTTACATAAATGGTGCAAAATGTTAAAAGAATCTATTATTGATCATGCAAAAAAGTGCAGAAAAAGAAAGGTTGATGAATGTTTTGCAACAGAAAGTTATAAGAATGAAAAGTATTTGTTTTTAAACCATTGTCTGACATTTTATATTTTTAAAGTAAATTTTAGATATAAAACTTCAAATGTCTTTTTATATCTAAAAAGTAAACAGTAAAACTGAGATATTTGATTAAAAAATTTTAGAGAAATATAATTATTTAGTAAATTTTAGTTTATTTATTCTTTACCAATGTTCCAGATTTTATCCACATACCTTCATCAATTTCTTGACTATTAAATTTTTCAGATATTTTGTTATACCAAATAGAAGAATGAAAGCAAGTCTTTTAACAAGTTAAAAACTTAAAAAATGTTCAATGTTAAAAAAAGTTCTAAAGTTAAGAATGAATAAGATTCTTTTTTATAATCTCAAAAAATATCTTGGTTTTTTTAAAATAAACTTCAGTTAACCTAGTTTATGAAATGGAAAATAGTATTATTCACTAAACAAGTCTTAATATTTGTTTAGCAAATAGTACGATTCCCTAAACAAATAGTACTTAATTCCTTAAGGAATAGTACTTAATTCCTTAAGGAGTAGTACTATTCCTTAAACAAATAGTACTTAATTCCTTAAGGAATGGTACTATTCCTTAAACAAATAGTACTTAATTCCTTAAGGAATAGTACTATTCCTTAAACAAATAGTACTTAATTCCTTAAGGAATAGTACTATTCCTTAAACAAATAGTACTTAATTCCTTAAGGAATAGTACTATTCCTTAAACAAATAGTTTTTACTATTCCTTACAACTAGTCCTTCATTTTTTATGGTCCTGCTTGTCCTTTAAAACATGTATCACTGTTCTAATAAATTTTAATCTAATATAAACTAACTATTTGTTAAGAAAATTATTCGCCTAATGATAAGTACTATTCGCTTAAAGAATACTATTCACTTAATGAATAGTACTATTTGCTTAGCGTATGAATTTAAACCAAATAGTGCTATTCATTAAACAAGTAGTATTAAGTCCTTATAAAATTTTGTACAATAAATATACTATTTGCTTTTCGCTTCCCTATTTTTTTAAATCCAGTTTAAAATTCAAGAATCTGATTTTAGTTTCTGTTTTTTTTATAAGGTTTCTAAATAAATAATTACCCTTGGAATTATTTATTTAGCAAATATTATTAGTGTTTGTATAGTGCTTACTAGATATTATAAATGTCTGAAAAATAAATAATTTCATTTGGGTATTATATCTGCATGAAGGAATTTATGTGAGAACACAGGTAAAATTTGTTGCAATAATACATAAAATCAGATAATACAAAATAAAATGAATTGTGTTGATTTTTTAATAAATAGTTATTTTTTACTTTTTTTTAATACTATTTTATTTTTAATAAAAATTTGGTGTGCCTCTTTATATCATGTTTGTCTTTCATTGACATATCAATCACTTGCTTATAATTTTATTTGTTTTTTATCATTTTATTTTTACTGTTACTTTTTATTAATACTATTATTTTTTTTTTATACTTTTTGCACTTTTATTATTTTTTATTTAATTTTTTAATATCACTTTTTAGTATTTTATTATACATAACAAGCTTTCCCAGGAGACAAATAGAGTCTCACACCTAATATGACCATGCATATAATATTTTGTTTTCATAACTTGGCCACAACTTCTTGCATGTTTTAAGTTAGCGCGTTTTATAAAATCTGCTAAATAAACAAATGTAAACTTAAACTATATAAACTGAGAAGAGAAATAAAAAATACAAAACTAAACTAAAAACTAAAAATCTTAATGAATGATAAAATAAATAAAATATCAACCAGAAAAATTAAATGCCTAAAGTTAATATATGTTTTATCTTTGATTAATTAACTTTGAAATTTTGATTTTGAAATAAAAATCGAGTTTTCAAATTTTTAATCCTTGACCAATGTCGATGTAACAGTTGGTTCTCGTATATGACACAAACAATCAAAGCACTATAATAACGCAGTCAAGGCAGCATTAAAGGTATAATTATTAAATTTCAAACTACGGAGTGAACACTTTTAAATGAATCAAGTTTGAACTATTGAGGCAATAAAACCAATACATTTTTTAAAAAATTAAAAAGTACATTGGTTTTATGTTTTTATTTTCTCTGGTATATCCTTTATTTATTTTATCATTTGCTTGGTTTTTTCAGCTCATTTTTAATTAATTAAAATTTTAATACACAAATTATTAATATATGCAAAAACCATGGCTAATTGTCCTAAAAAAAACTCTACGCTTAGTCATATAAGGCCTGCAACTGCGCCAGTCTTCTGGGAAGGCTTAATATAATATACATGTACTCAAAGCAAAAATGCAAAAGTGTGTCAAACAATTTTCCTCTATTTTTATATACTGGTTCTGAATTAGTATTTTTTTTTTTGACAAAATCAATTATTTTGGTAATTGAAAAAATAGATTTATTACTATTTAAAAAAAAAAAATTTAATACTTTTCCTTAAATGAATATTATTACTTTTTTAAGGAATAGTACTAACGAATAGTAATATTTGCTATTCCTTTAATGAAAACACTATTTGCCAGTGCTTACACATACACAATCTAATATTAGTCATAGTTTTACTAAATACTTAAATAAAGATGTTGCTCAATTTTACAAAAAGATTTGTAATGATTTTGCTTTTATTCTTGTTATAACAACTTTTTTCAAAATCTTTATTTTCTCAATTTTATTGTTTTGCATATGGTCTTTTTGCTTTTTAGAACTGGAAGATATTTAAAGAAATTCCTGAAGTTTACATATTGGTACCTGCATTGCTTGGTCTAAAAGGAAACTTAGAAATGACTTTGGCTTCCAGACTATCAACTGCAGTATATTTTATTTTTTAATAGTCATATGTAAAATATAGGTAAAATGTAGCCGCTTGTAGCTATTTTGATTAACTTTCAAAAGAAAAATATTTTTTTTAAGATAAAATTAATTTACTATTTCAAATATTGAAAACAAACTGTACAAATATTTGAACCATTACTTTAGACCAGTGATGGGGGAAGTTTTCATTTATTAAATCATATGGTCCAATTCAATTTGAGTGTGGTCTAGAAAAAAAAGTCAAGTAATGTTAATTTTTTTTTTAATATGACACAATAAATAAACATGGGCCAAATTGAAAGCTCTTTGCCCAAATTGAAAATACAGGCCAAATTGAAATTGGGCTACTTTTGGCCTGTTGACCTGTGCTTCACCTATCACTGCTGCAGATAAACATTTATAATTTAAAAATAAAATAAATGATTGTTTTTTTAAAGAATTTAAAAAAATTACAATTTTTTTTTCTATTTTCTTAAAAAAAAAAGGAAATCAAGTTCTTGAAAAACTCAATTACTTATCACAACACTTTTAGTTTTAAAAAATCTACCAGATTATTCAGTTTATTCATTTCATTATTTATTATTTATTAATTTTATCAATTTTAGGCAAATGTTGGTAAAATGGAATGTCCAAAAAGAAAATGGAGTATTATTTTCGGCAATATGGCTCTGACCCAGGTTTGTTTATTAATAAACTTTTTTTTTATTATTTATAAATTGTTTTTGAAATAAAAAAAAGACTTCAAATAGATTTAACGTTTTTCAAGTATTAAATATAAGTATTACCACTACAGGGGTTATTCTAGAAAAATAATTTGGATTAAATTACAGTCTTGGAAAAAAGTTTAAGACCACCACGTATAAATGATATACTTTGGTGCCTAAAATAAAATGCTACAACTTTATGCTATAACTTGGTGCTATTATTGATTCTAGCTGCTGTGGACATTATTTTAATGCATTTATTTTTTATTTTTGAACCAATTTTTTTGTACTGTAATAGTTTTTTCATTAAATTTTCAGTTTTTTGCAAGTGGTCTTGAACTTTTTCCAAGACTGTATAAATAAGTGTAAATTTATATTTACACTTATTTGTATTGATTTGGAGGAGCCGTGCTCCTCTCCCTCCACATGCTAATGCATGCTGTAACTTACCCAAATATGTACTTATCTTAAAAGTGTTTAAGAGTTTATAATTAGTTTACAATGGTAGATGGTCAATCCAGATGATTTGTGATCAAACATAATAAGAATGAAAAGGTTGTGATTGTTATATCTTGAAGATATAACATTGTTGTCATTGGAGACAACATTGTTGTCATTGGAGACAACATTGTTATCATTGGAGACAACATTGTTGTCATTGGAGACAACATTGTTGTCATTGGAGACAGCATTGTTGTCATTGGGGACAAACTTCAAAGTTATGCATTATAATATATCAATTTCTTAATTCTTATTTTATTAAAATTAATTTAAAATTATTTATTTAAATTTATTTATAACGGATTTATAAATGATTTAGGCACAAGCATTAGTAGTGGCAGTTCTGGCTTCACTTCTTGCTGTCACGCTTGGTTGGATTAAAAGTGACCAATTTAGTCTCCATCACGGATTTTTGTTGTGTGCTTGTTCTCTTGTTACTGCATCTATTACTAGTGCACTTTTAGGAACGCTTATGGTTGCAGTTGTTATTTTTTCTCGGAGATGTGGTATTAACCCAGATAATGTTGCAACGCCTATTGCAGCCAGTCTGGGTGATCTTATCACGCTTGCTTTACTATCTGTCACTTCCAACTCTCTTTATAAAATAATGGGTAAATATTATACTTTAAAAATGTGATTTTATTCTTTTACAAATAATTATTTTATAAATTATGTGAATAATACTTAACAAAACGTATGGTACTTTAAATCTTCATCATCGTAACATGTTTTTATTTAATGGTGTTGCTTCTCATTTGTGTGTATTTTGAAATGAAGTTGTTTTTTTTTAATGTCAATGGCGTAAAAATTATGCAAAAGAATTATATAGAAAAAACTTATATAGAAAGCTTTTTGTTGTTTTTTTAATTTTAATTTATTAAGGAATTTTGAAATTTTTTTTTATTTGCATTTTTTATATTTACACTTATTTGTGTTGAGTTAATGTTATATTTAAAAATATAGTTCTTTTTTGTGTCATTTCTAATGTTAAGATGTAACTTTGTTCATCTGAACATTAGAAATTATATTTTATATATATATATATATATATATATATATATATATATATATATATATATATATATATATATATATATATATATATATATATATATATATATATATATATATATATATATATATATATATAATATATATATATATATATATATATATATTTAATTTAATCTTTAGTGTTTGTAAATGTTTTCAGCAAAAAAAGTTGTTTGTTGGTACTATGTTTATCCCTATTAACTTTGTTGTCCACTTAATGCCAAAAAAATTTAAAATAAATGTGTTTTTGAGGTGGTTTTGAGCAAGCCAAGCTAACAATTAAATGGTTTTGAAATAAATGGTTTTGAGCAAGCAAATAAATGGTTTTGAAATAAATGGTTTTGAGCAAATAAATGGTTTTGAGCAAGCCAAACTAACAATTCTCTACCAGTTTTTTTTATCAGTTTCCTTGCATAACACCATACTTATGGTGTTATGCAAGGAAACTGATAAAAAAAACTGGTAGAGAATTGTTAGTTTGGCTTGCGCAAAACCATTTATTTGCTCAAAACCATTATTTTATTAACCATTATATGATTAACCATTATATAATTTCATTAGACCATAAAACTGATTTCTAAAAATCTAGTGGCTTTGAAAAGTACTCTTGCTAAATTAAGGCACTATATTTTTTATTTTTTTTTTATTTTTTTGAAATAAAGAGGGTTTTTTTGTAAATGAAGACCTAAAAACCTTGCAAATTGAAATCAACATTTTTTAATTTGTTCTAAATTATATATATTTAGTGTCTCTTTAATGGCTTGTCTGAAGTAATTTGTTCTTTCCTTTATGTCTTATATACTTATTTTCTTTCTTTATCTGTCTAGATATAATTTTTGGCAGATAAACTAAATCTGCTTTGCATACTTTATATATATATATATATATATATATATATATATATATATATATATATATATATATATATATATGCATACTTTATATTTATTTATAAAATATAGTATAATATATATTTGCATACTTTATATATATATCTATATTCATATATATATGTATATATATATATATATATATATATATATATATATATATATATATATATATATATATATATATATATATATATATATATATGTATATACATACATATATATATATATATATATATATATATATATATATATATATATATATATATATATATATATATTTAATTACCACTGGCATATCACATGTTCTCAAACAATGTATAAATTTTGTCTCAAACAATGTATAAACTTTTCATATATACATTGTTTGAGGTTTTATTTAAATAAAGATTTTTCTAATTTTTGTAACTACCTCAATTAATAAACAAAGATGCTGTACAGTGAAACAAATTAAGCACAGTTTCACCAGAGATAGAGGTATTACAAGACCACAGAGCTACCAGAAGCATGGTGGGGATAAAACGCAGTACTTTCGTACACCTTGTTTTTCTGGGCTATAGCCAGTTTGTCAAAATTTATGTTTCAGAGTTAAAAGATTAAAAGTAGGTATAGAATCAATATGTAGGTTATCAGCAAATAGAGACACTTTGTATGTATTAGTGTCTGGAAAGTCCTAAATTAAACTTAAAATCAACAATTGAATAAAATAAAATTGAACAATATATGTTTAATTTTTGAATATAAATGTCGACTTATTTCACACTTTTTCAGAATAAGAAGATTTTTTGTTTTTTTTGTCCTTTTTACTTACTGATTATGTTGTTACTTACTGATTATGTTGATACTGCTTACTGATGCTGATATTTAATGTACTGAAGCTCCAAAGAGGATTTCAGTATGACCTCATTAGTGGTGTTTCATGCAGAGTTTTTGTATGAAACACCACTAATGACCTAAATCTGCAATTTTTTGTGTATATGTTTATATATACTCACAATTTTCATAAATTTAGTGTAAATATTTCCACACTTTTGTGGTTTCAATGGTTTTCCATAACATCAGTTTTAAATTTAAATATGGACTGCCTAAAGCAAAAAAGCATAACAAAGCTTACTTTATGTTGAATTTACTTTAAAAAAAGTAAATTTTTGTGATTATCTTTAAATGTAAAAAAATGATACTATTCTTGATATCAATTAGACATGAATTAGTTAAAGCCATTTTTTACTATTTTTTTACTTCCTAGCGTTTAGCGTTAACTTGTTTAGCAGATTAAGATCATTATAATGCTTACACTGAGAAAATTTAAAAGTTAAAAAATCAAGTTTTATTATAATGCTAACACTGAGAAAATTTAAAAGCTAAAAAATCAAGTTTTATGAGCTCTATTAACCCATATTTCTAATTAAGTTAGGATATTTATATCAGAGTTTCCTTTCTCTTAGGTAATATAAGCTATTTTTTCTGAATGTTTATTTTACCCATTAAAATAGTATTTTTTAGTGGTAATTAAATATATAAATTAATACTTCAAACCTAAAAAGACATTTACTTTCTTAAAAACACAAGTGAAATTTAATTTAAATTATAGAAAATTGATTGTCTTATTACTATTAAAAATAGATATTAACGTGATTGAAAAGCCTCATGATTTAATGCCCTATTTTGCATTTCCTCTGCAGAGCTCATTTGAATTGAATTTTAGAACCTCTTTGTTTTAGGGTATCTTGTATTCCTATTTGTCCCAAAGGTATTTGATTGGGTTATAGTTAAAGCTCTGAGGTGGTAGTGGTAACATATTAATATAATTTTCTACCAAAATTTTTGTTGTGGTTTTGACAGTTTGGGGTCATTATCATATTAAAAGATGTAACTACCCATGATCCCTAATCAAATGACTGAATCTGTAAAATTATTTTTTATAACATTAATATTTATATTAATGTTATGACATTAATATAGCCTTTTATAACATTAATTTAGCTTTTTAAATCATTAATATAGCCTTTTTTTATGTTTAAAAACAACAATTTAAGAATTAGTTGACTATATTTAGTTACTAAACTTTTAGCATGCATTGTGTGTATAAAACACAAAACTAAATAATACAGATTATTCTTTTACATAAGCTGCTGTTTTTTTCTAAAAGTAAAACTTAAAGTTTTGTTTTGAACAATATTTTTTAAGGCTTATGTCTTATAAATGTAGAAAACTTGAATTAAGCTAGCATCTGTTGAGATTGTTCACTGTTGCTGACTTTTCACAATGATTTTTCAAAGTTTTTTATGACATTAATATATAAATATTGAGCAGTAACTTATTATCACTCAGTTGTAATTTACCATCACAAAAATAAAATTTTATTACATTATTTTTATGTGCTTCTCGTGATATTCTTCACACCATTTGTCAATGTTTTGAGATTTTTAGTTTAAGTTTACCTTTTCCAAACAAACGATACTTCATTCTTTTACATTTTACTATGGTTAGATTGTACTATAATTACGTTGTACGTTTTGCTTTGTTTTTCTAGTTATCTGAAGATATGTCAAATAAATCAATAAAATAAACTTTAAATCATAATTAATAATAGTAATAGTAATGATATATATAAATCATAATTAATAATAGTAATATAATGATAATAATAACAATAATGTGGTTTATAATAGTAATAATAATAATAATGATAATAATAATAATGAGATTATTTATCTTAATTTTTGGAATTACAAATTTAATATATTTTTTTTTTTAATTACAAATATCAAATTTTGTGAAAAACCAGATATTGCACTTCGCAGATATTGTAATTTGATATATTGCAGATATTGCAATTTCTAATCACTTAAAGCAATTGCAGATATTGCAATTTCTAATCACTAAAACCAGATATTTTTCCAGATATTGCAATTTCTAATCACTTGTTCACCCCTTGACCTGACGTTACTGAGATCACTACTAAAATAAAATCCAAAGCACTACTGCCCTATCATTAAAATTTACCAAAAGTTTAAATTACAGGCTTTTTTATACACTAAATAATAAATGAAAATAAAAAATAAAATTATTATTATCTAAATAATCTTAAAAGAATAAAAAGTTTGTGTGCTTCATAGCATTTACGACTAGCTCAATGTATTAAGCAGATTCTTGCATTAATTTGGACTTTATTAAGCAGATTCTTGCATTGATTTGGACTTTTCTATAGTTTCATTGGCATTGCACTGATTTAGACTTTTCTATCATTTCATTTCTATTCATGCAATATTTTCCTCAAGCAAAAAATTCATTTAATTAACATATTGTTGCGCTCATTAATTTTTTCAGTCAAATTAGTTGGTTACACATTATTTGATTAAACTTATTTGCTAAATCAACTTTTATGTCAAACCAAGTTTAATAACCTTTGTACACCTTGTATACCTAACCTTTGGAATATAGTTTGCAAAAAATTGTTTTAATTAATTTTGAAGATTTTAATTTGATCAAAATATCAATACATTAAAATGTAATGATATTTTGATATTATTGATATTGAGGGGGCGTCAGTACATACATCAACTGCTATAGGGAAAATACTTCAACCCTTTAGAACTCTCTCCCATCTAGACAAATAAAAGTGTTTAGAGCATACAGGGACAGATATTTAATGCTGCTTTAATGCTGGTGAAGTCATTAGTATTTTTATCTCCAAATTGGTTATAACTGAAAAAAAAACATAATCATAAATACAATTTATAGACAGCCTATAAATATTATTTATTATTAATTAAAAATCTAGAAATTTAAAATGATTTATAAATTATCATGCAATATTCCTGAAAAAAATCTAAATAAAATGTGTTAACATTGTTGGCATGGTTACATGTTTGGAGATTTTTAACATAAACCTGATCAACTCTTAACAATAATGCAATGAGTTTTATAATCACTCATCTAATAATTTTATTTTTACAATCAACCTCTACATCTCTTGATAATACTATAAATGAGTATTTTCACATTCTTAGGTACCAATAACATTCTTAGTTACCAATAATATTTTTAGCTAGCAATAATATTTTACTTAAGTAGCAAATGAAGTAGTTCTTTTCAACTTCTAAATTTACACTCTTGAGGCAAGAGATTAATGAAAAAAATCTGAAAGGATTTTAAAAACCTTGATAGAACATTCTGCTCACAATTAAAACTCTTCCAACTACTCTGTTTAGCCTGTTTAGCTGTACAGTGGTCTTTGAACTCTCATCAAACAAAGGCTTGTGTAGGGATGAGAGTTACAAGTTAATTTTGAACAAAAAAAAAATTCACATATAAATAGTATTGACACAAATGATCCTAAAAGATAATATAATGATATATATATATATATATATATATATATATATATATATATATATATATATATATATATATATATATATATAAATATTTATTTATTTTTAAATTATATAAATTTTTTTCATAGATTCTCATCAATGGGTTTCTCCACTTATTTGTGGCCTTTTTCTCTTAATTTTGCCTCTTTGGTTTTATATTTCTCATCACAACAGTTACACACATCATATTTTGTATAGCGGATGGTGGCCTGTAATACTTGCGATGATTATTAGTAGGTAATAGGTTTTGCTCTAATAATAATAATAATAATAGGTTTTGCTCTAAATTCTTTTATGAAAGTTAAATTAAAGATCAAAAAACAAGCATTATAATATTTTTTTTAAATTTGAGTGTTTATTAATAATGAAATATTACATTTGTTATAATTTTTATTTATAAGTATGATGTTTTATTAATAATAAGAAAGAAATATTTTCTACATTTTTCTGAAATCATTTTTTCTTTAGTATTTCTTTTGCATTTATTTGAAAAAAAATTATTTTTTTTTTGAAGTTTTGACTTTACATAACTTAGATACCAAGTTTCTAAAGTTCTTTCAATTGTTCCTCGCACCAGTTCTTTTTTATATTTCAAAAATATTTTTAAAAAATTAAAACAATATTTTTTTGTTTCATACAAAGTTCAAGTTTCAATATAATACAATCTTTTAATATGAAGAATTTTAAAAAAGTTTTTTATAATAATTTTTGAAATATATTAGGATATTAACAAGAAAATTACTATGACAACTTTTTTTAATTTTTTAAGAAAAAATTTGGTTACACAAATATTTTACCTGCAATTATTAATTAAAGTTATCTAAAACTGTGTAATAATTACCTTCATCATTATAGTGTTGGGCATCTTTATAAAATTTTTTTGCTTAAAATCAGTTTGCTTTTATTTAAACAAATTTACTCCCAACAAGGCTAAAGGCATCTCTAAAATATTACATATTTTAATTGTACAATATTTTACTATTGTTAGGAGTTAACGGGAAACTAAGCAGAGAGTTAAAAAACAACAAAGCGTTGTATACTATAAAACTGTGGTATATACCTTAGACTTACAAAACTCTAAATTGTATGAGTCAGAAAAACGTGAATATGGAAGAGAGTTTCAAAGTACCAATTTTAAAGGAAAAAAATTTATAAATTTTTTTGCTGCATGAATGCACAATTACATTACATAATGAGTTTAAAAAAATAGTGAATTGAATGAGTTATGTAAGATTGAGTTTAATGGAACGTTTTAGAAAAAAAGAAAGAGATGAAACCTTAAATTGCAGTAATCCCTCAGTAAGATTGTTGCCATTCATAAAGGAAAATGAGATAAATATTAGCAGTAAACAACTGAAAATTGACCACATATAGCAAGCTGTCACCGAGAAGAGGTCAGGTATAAGATTGGCTGCCTATTTTAAACAATCTATAAAATGATGATATATTGTCAAGACTAGAATATATAGTTATTTCATTAGAAGGATAGAGCCACTTTAGGTATAAGATTGTAAAATTTAATTATAAATTTGTAATTTTTTTATCAATTATAAATTGTTATTTTTTTCTTGAAAAAAAGAAGTATATTTTAATGAAAATAAAGACTTATTGTTATTTTAACTTAACACACTTTTTTGCATTTTTAATAACAATATCTTACCAAAAGTCATAACCCTAACCCTCATGAAATATTCGCTATAAAATTTAAAAGAAAAAAAAAAGTTGACTTTTTTGCCAGTTGATTTCAATTTTATGTTAGCAGAAAAGCCAAAATTGCAATAATAACCCAAAAAAATGATTGCACATAAGTTATAAATGATTTTATGAATAATATATAAAATAATAATATATATGTATGTAATAAGAAAGTCGAACGTTTGATTGTATTCATTGTATTCAGAGTTATAATTGTCAAGAAATTTATTGATATTATAAAAGCAACACATGACTAATGATGGAATATTGTAGCACTCTAGAAGTTACTGGAAATGAAAGGAAGTGTTTTCTCTTTAAAAAAAACATAAATTCAGTATTTATGGTAAGAAAGAAATCTATTCAGGATTTCAGTAATTTTAAAAAATCTTTTAGATACATCATATAAAGCAAACTTGTGGAGAAGACTAGCATGCTGGACTTTATAGTATATAAGACTAGTGAATAAGACCTACTTGTTATTTTTTAATTACTAAGACCACAAATATTTGTAATCAAAGTTAACATCTAGAAAAAATACATCTTAAAAGGCAGCAAGACATGAGGCAGTTTATACTGAATTAGTACAACCTGTCTCATTTTACCATCAGCATGGTGACCATAAAGATTCTGATATTAACCTGAACTAAATTTACTGCAAAGTTTACTGGAATAATTTACTGGAACTCTTCTCAATTTTATAGTTTTAAAGTATTTATGTCTTAGAAGCTAAATGTGTGTTTATGTATGCTGTATATGCTGGTTGTTGATTTAGATAAAAGTTGATAGTAAATAAAGTTGGAGATTTTAGAAGTAGCAGCATTAGGAATGGTTTGATCATAATACTATGTACTGATAATCTTTTATATTTAGTGTACCTTTTGAAACTATGAGGTTAACCTAGTTGTGTGCTGCTATGGGTTCGAAAACTTTTAATGCATTAATGATAATTAATTATTATTAATGCATTAAATAAATTTATTAAAAATAAAATATAATGGCCTTTTCACAAATGATAAAAAACAGGGATATGCTTGTTACACATGATTTATGATGGTATTATATAATTATAAAATTTTATGATAATGTAATATAATAATGAAGTTATATATAAACATCAGTTATAAATGTATAAATTAGACTTTTTCTTAAAAGTTTTTTTTTTTTTATCTAGTGCTGGGGGCGTTATCTTGAGTAATGTTGTTCCTAATAGTCCTGAAATAGCTGCATTTAGTCCTGTTATAAATGGTAAGAAACTATTTTTAATGAATTTTGATAAATCAGTTTGTTTTGAAAAAATTTGAATAAATAAATTAAATTTTTGGCTTTTTATGTTTCTAGTTTTCCATCATCTTTAATTTTTACCAACTATTTTACACATATGTATATAAGGCACCAGGGATTTTTTTAGAAAAACTAATTCGTTCAAGCAGGAGTACTTTTATTAGACCATAAAACTATAATGGGCAAATATTTAATGTTGCAAGTCTTCCTAATTCTTATTTTAATTAATTTTGCTTTTACATATGATTCATTATGAAACATAAATTAGAGTGAGATGTAATTGATAAATTTTTAAACAAGTGTTACTGTAAAACATTTTCTCACATATTTTTATATTTAATGAAAGTCTTTCATTATTTTATCTTTAAGATAAATTTTTTTTTTTTAATTTTCATATTTTAGACATGTTTTGGTTCTTTAAAATGGGTAGTTTTTTATAAAAGCCATATAATTAGATAAACTCATGTTAAAAAAACAGCGTTTTAATTGTTGCAACTTATTTGGGTAGATAGACAGTTAAAATAAAGAGTTTTTTTGTTTTTAATTTAAAAAATTATCTTTTTATCTTAAAAACTTTGTTTAATGCAGAAAAAAAGAGTAAAGTGTCCACTTAAATGTTATCATTTTGTTTACACATACTTATATTTAATGACGCATTTCTATGTTCCACCAAAAGTAGTCTTTAAAGTGGTTTGTCTATGTTGATTTTTTTAGTTTGTTTTTCAAGTCCATAAAATAAGAGTGAAGAAAACCTATGATTTTGGAAAATATTGAAATTAAAAATTATCATAAAAATAATAAATTTACTTATTATTATTTATTATATTATTTATTATTATATATTTCTAGATATATTATTTATTCTATAATTTCAACATATATTTATTCTATAATTTCGGATGTCTTAATAAAAAATGATTATTCACACCTAATTGTGCTACTAATCAGTTTTATTGTTGCATAATATGTAAATTTTTAGTTTCATGGATACGTGGATTTTTTCTGGACTGTATTACAGTTCAGAAAAAGCAATGATAAAACAACTTTCATAACCTTATCAAATCACTAAAGTATAATTTCAAGTTTTTATATGCACTTATTACTGGCAAAAATTTTATTTTATACGATCAAGATTGAAAAATTAGTAAAGGACTAAATAAACATACAGAGCAGCAAAAAACATTGTGTTTATGGGTGCAAACAAAATCAGGGATTATATAAAAGTATTTTTCTTCTAATTCTCTTATAACAATTTATTTTGCTGGAAAAGTTGTCATAGAATTTACTAAAGGAATGCAGTTTTTAAAGGATAGGTTAGCTTGTTCTTGCTAGTATTAAAGAATCGTTAGCTTCTTTTTGGTTTTCTCCAGAACCTGTAATTATTGCTGAAATTTGAGTCACTTAATCTCCACTATTTATCATCTAATCAAAAGTTAGATATATATATATTTTTTTTTTTAATTTTATTTTAATTCACCTCCTCAAGGCCGAGAAGTAGGCCACTACAGACGAGGAGGCTACTTATTTGTGGCTATAACCCTCTCTCAACTCTATAACTCCGAAACACGAACCTTGACAAACAAGGCCGCTGCGCGGAGAAACGAGTTGAGCGCGGTACTACCAAGGACGTGGTGGGGATCGAACTCGGAACCACTCGTTTATGAAGCGAGCGCTCTACCAATACACCACTACCGCATTAGATATGAGAACTTCTAACTCTAACCCCAGATATGAGAACTTCTAACTCAATCTAATTTTTGGTTAGACAATGAAGTTCAATGTTTTTGCTCTGATACCACTGAAGCAAACACCGATAAAACAAAAAGAGCTTGTTAATTTGAAATCATAGCATGCTATTTGTAGCATACTTAACTGCCATATTTTTAAGTCTCATGTTACCCATTTTTAGGAGCTTCAGGACCAGAGAATAAATAATTTAAAGTTTTTATTAAGCATTGGAATTATCTGGATACTGAACATCTAGATTTGAAAATATGAAAAGTTTGTCAACTTCTACTGGTTCTTGGATTAATAAATAAAGGCTGAGTGCTATTCAATTTTGTAGATTTATAATTAGCAATAAGGTTTTTAAGAAGGTAAGTTTTTATAGTAAAGTTCTTTTGCTTTTCTTTTCCTCACTTATAATTTTCTAGTTTTATTCTACTAATAGTTTTGCGTAAAGTTACTTAAGTTGATCATAACATAGTAAAAAATGTTTGTTGAGGATGAGAAATTTAGTAAAGGTTATCAGGAACTGGCAGAACTTACTTTAATGGTACTATCACCCACTGACAGAATTAAACTTAAAACTGTTTCTACTTATGAAAAGAATGAAAATAATGAAGAAAAGATGAAATGACTGAAATGACAAATTCAGTGAAAGAAATCCCATTTCTTTCACTGAATGGTTTCTTATAGCTGAGTTAAGTTCAGTTGCTCCCACTCAGATACACAATCTGACTGG